TCTGAGGCTCTGGCAGACTTGGGTGTGCTGGGTGAGCTCTATGATTATTTTTGGGATGCCGGGTAGTCTAGTACTGACTCTTGGTCAGGATAAGAATGAGATGGAATAACTAAATATTTGTAATGTGCAGTTTAAATTTTGGAGATCCCCTGGTAGCACCCAGGACCAGCTTGTTCACATTGTTTAAGGATTGTATATTGATGACTTACAAATAGTTGAACTGTGCACATAGACTGTCTTGGCTAATGACCAATGAGGCATAAAACCAATATATTATATTTCTTTATACTAGCAAAAATTAGGAAAAAATGGAAAAAATTCCACTTATAACAGTATCAAAAGCATTAAATATGTAGGAAGAAACTTTACAAAATATTTAAAGGCCTTTACATACGATAAAAGTTACAGAGCATCTAAATAAATAGAGTTATATACCATGTTCATGGATTAGAAAACTCAATATAGTTAAGTTGTCGGTTGTCCCCAATTGATCCATACAATCAATGCAATCCCAACCAAAATTCCAGCAGTATTTTTTTGTAGAAATTTATAAGCCAATTTTAAAATATATATTAAAATGGGAAAGAACTGGAAAGGACAAAACAATTTTAAAAAGAAGAGCAAAAAGGGAAGTAACCTGATACCGAGATTTCTACAAAGTATCCAAGACAATGTGGTCTTTGAGTAAGGATAGAAAAATAGATCAATGGAACTTAGTAGAATTCAGTAATAGACCCAAACATATGTATAATAAGTTGATTTTCTACAAAGGCATCAAAATATTTCAAATGAGAAAGTGTAGTCTCTTTCAAAAATGATGGGTAACTGGATATCTGCATGGGGAAAAAAATAAACCCCCATCCCCACCCAAAAAATTCCCAAGCAACAAAAGAGGAGGATTGGCATGAGTGTTAGCTCAGGGCTGATATTCCTCACCAAAAAAAAAAAAAAAAAAAAAAAAAATGAGTGATGATCTTCATCAAGATTAAAACCTTTTGCTTTTTGAAAGAAAACATTAAGACAATGAAAAGATATTCAGCTGATAGGGAGAAATTATTTGCAATGCACATATCTGACGGAGGATTTGTATCTAGAATATATAAAGAACTTACAACTCAAAAATAAGAAAACAAATACCCAGTTCAAAAAAGGACAAAAGATTCAAAGAGACGCTTCCCATAAGATAATATACAAATGGCCAATAAGCAAATACTCAACATCACTGACTTTTAAGGACATTCAAATTAAAGTATAAGGAGATATAACTTCACAAACTGGAATGGCTGAAGTGAAACAGACAAGTCCAAGTTTTGGCAAGGATGTGGATTAATTAGAACTCTTATACATTCCTCGTGGTAATTTAAAAGGAAATGACCCTTTTGGAAAAATCAAGTTTTTTCTCAATGTAAACATACACTTACCATGTTACCCAACAATTGTACTGTTAGATATTTACCAAAGATAAATTGAAATATATGCCCAGAAAAAATATTAGGCAAGAAATTTCAAGCATCTGTATTCACTAGAGCAAAATGTAAACCACCCAAATTTTCTTTAACAGAATAGATAAACAAATTATGGCATATTCCTATAGTGGAAACCTTTTTAACAATAGAAAGAATAAACTGCTGGTAAATGCAACTACACGGATAAATCTCAAAACATGTGAGTGAAAGAAACCATACAAAACGTAGCGTATAATGTGTGACTTTATTGAATTCTAGAAAATATGAAACTAATCTGTTGTGATAGAAGACAGATCAGTGTTTGCGTGGGGCTGGATTTGTGGGGGCTTTTATTAGCTGCAAAAGGCATACAGGCACTTTATGAGGTCATGCATATATTTTGTATTTTAATTGTGGTGGTGGTTATACTGGTACATACAGTTGTCAAAACACAATGAGTACTCTTAAACGAAGTGTATTTTATTGCATGAAAATGATACCTCAATATAGTTGATTTTACTATTTGTCTTTTGTTTGTTTCTAGCTTAATTCTACTTAAACATCATATTTTTAATGATTTCAGTCCTTTGAAAAACTTTTGTATCTCATTTTTTGTATAACGTGATCAGTTTTGGTAAATGTCCTGTATGCCCTTGGAATAATGTGTAACCTGTGGTTTAAGGCGCATATTTACTGTCATACCATTCAAATATTATAGATATTTACTGACTAGTTGCTCTATCAGTTTCTGAGAGAATGATAAAAAAGTGTTTTCTGGTTACTATTGCTGCATAACCAATTATTTCAAAATAAAACCACTTAAAGCAACTGTTTTATTTTACATAACACAGATCACTGTTATGATCATTTTTCCCCCAGCTTCTCATCATATTTTCCTTACTTCCTTTAAGACCTCATTGACAGCATTGCCCAGGCCCATCAGGTTTCTGCTAATAGTCTCTTTAAGCCCTTACAGCTTCTGCCTGTTACTTTGTCCCCAAAACAATGTCACATGTTTTACGTGGCATCCCAATTTGGGGCTATTACAAATAAAGATACTATGAACATGCATCTACAAGTCCTTTTGAAGACAAACATTTTCATTTGTCTTTAGTAAATACTCAGTAACATGGTAAGTGTAAGTGTTCTGGTTACTATTGCTGCATAACAAATTTCCCCCCTAAATCTAGCAGCTTAAAACTCCTTTTTTTTTTTTTGCTTGTGATTTCCTGGGCCATGAATCTGGGAAGGGCTCAGTTTTCAGTTCTCTCGTGGGATCTCTCATGTTGTTGCAGGGGCTGACGTCATCTGAAGACAGGGGCTGGGAATCCAGGAGGTTCACTAACATGGCTGATGGCTGGAAGTTCAGCCGGGTTGTTGGCCGGAGAACCTGCATGTGATAGTCTCTCCAGCATGTAGTCTCGACAAGCAGACTTCTCATAAAGCGAATGTCCTAAGTGATTTCAGGGGAGGCTGCATGACTTTTCCGACCTAGTGTTGAAGGTCAAGTAGTGTTACTTTCACCGCATTCTATTTCTTACAAGCAACTCACTAAGGTCAACCAAGATTCAAAAGGAGGAGGCATAAACCCCACCTCTCAAAGGATGCCGTATTAAAGATTTTGTGGATATGTTTAAAAAACACCATAGATGTATTAAATATGCCATTGTGATTGTTGCATTTTAAATTTCTACTTTTACTTCTGTCAATTGTGGCTTTAGGTGTCTAGGACTTAGTGTACATGAATATTAGACCTTTTCAGCATGTCTTTACGTCCTTTTTTATATTTTCCATATTCTGTCTTTCTGTGCTTCAGTTTGTATTTTTTTCTGGTCTTCCATGTTACTATTTCTATCTCGTGCTGATCTAATGTGCTATTACACTCATCCTTTGGGTTCTTATTTCAAATATTGACTTTTTCTGGTCTAGATTTTTAATTCGATTCTCTGTTATCATTTCTCTGCCATAACACTATCTCGTTGTTTAATTCCTTGAACATTTCTATCATAGTAATTTAAACTCCCTGCCAGGTAACTCCAATAGCAGGATGCCTTGTAAATTTCTTGTACTGCCTCTTCTTTCCCCTGGTTTTTCATCAAATCTCTTCTCTTTTATACTCGAGTATTTTTGATGGACAGGCATTGTAGATTGAAAATTGTAGAAATCTTTCAGAAAGCATTTTATTTTGCTTCCTCCGGGCACTTGATTTACAGGTAAATCACCTTATTTGAAAGGAAGTGAAGTGATTAGAAGCTGTGAGCAATAGTCTACTTTCAGTTCATGCTTCCTTATGTGGTACAAGTGTTCTGGTTGACGAGCTCCTCCTCCTTGGCTGACCCTGAGCTACACTTTGGGTTCCCCAAGCCCTGTGAGTCTGACAAATCTCTGCTGAGCTTTTCAGAGTCTCAGCTATTGCCTCTGATAAAGGCCTCAAGGGGAAAGTGGCTCACCTCCGCCCTTTACTTCTCTCTGAGAGCTTGGCTCCAAAAATTCTCACTGCTTTGTAGCTCTACCACACTTTCAAACACAATTGATATAGTCCTGCTATTCTAAACTCATTCTTAGTGCAATGCTTGGCTTGAAACAGACAATTTGGCATTGTCAGAAGCAGAAGTCTCCATAAAGAAGGTGAACTCTTAAATTATGATAACATGACTACTGTTACAGCTTTCATCTCAGACCCCATCACTAGGTTATTTACTTTAATTCAATTTCCTGTTCTTCAACCCTACTAACCCTCTGACCACTGTGGTTTCTGCAGGAAACCAGACCCAGCTGTTGGCCCAGTGCAACGACTCTGTGTCTGAACCAGCAGGCTCTGCAGCCTCAGAGGAGAGTCCTGCCAACTGCTCAGGTGAGGGGTCCCACAAGGCCAGAAAACCCTTCTCATTCCCTGTTAAATGCCCCATTAAGATGACTCTCTCTCCTCAGACAGCAGACAGCTCCGCCTGGTGGATGGGGGTGGTCCCTGTGCCGGCAGAGTGGAGATCCTTCACCAGGGCTCCTGGGGCACCATCTGTGATGACAGCTGGGACCTGAACGATGCCCACGTGGTGTGCAGACAGCTGGGCTGTGGAGAAGCCCTCAACGCCACAGTCTCTGCTCACTTCGGGGCGGGATCAGACCCCATCTGGCTGGATGACCTGAACTGCACAGGAAAGGAGTCCCACGTGTGGAATTGCCCTTCCCGGGGCTGGGGGCAGCATGACTGCAGGCACAAGGAGGACGCAGGGGTCATCTGCTCAGGTCTGTGCTTCACATTGTCTGTAGGCTGAGGGAGGAGGTGGGGCTTTCGGGGATGGGAGTGTGAACCTGGAGGTGGTGTTGCTGAAAAGGCCAGAGGAGAAAGCTTCCTTCCATAGTGCCTGTCTTTCTAGCAGTTATGAAGATTAGGTGCTTTCGTTTCTCCGACTGTAGCAGAGGTTCTGGTCCTTCCTTCTCGGCAATATCTCCTGGCAGAGCCATTTCTTACAGAGTTTCCGTTTGAAAGCAGGGCTCACTCTTCTGCTACCTATGGTAGTAAAATCTTGAGCTCCTATTGCTGTTGTAATGAATTACCACATAATTAGTGTTTTAAAATAACACAAATTTGTTATTTGACAATTCGGTACATTAGAAGTCTGACAAGGGTCTCACTGGGCTGGCATCAAGGTGATGAGAGGTCTGCATTTTTTCTGGAGGCTCTGAGAAAGATAGCTTTTCTAGTTTCTAGGGGCATTGTGCATTCGTTGGCTCATAGCTCCCTTTCTTTTTCTTCAAACAGACAACATTGCCTCCCTCTGACCATTCTTGTATAGTCACATTTCCCTCTGACTGAAGCTGGGAATGGTTATGTGTTTTTAAGGATAGTAGGTCTGAGGATGTGATTAGATTCGCTCACCTGGTTAATCCACAGTATTCCAGGTCTCACCATCTCAATCTCACCATCCCAAGGTCCTTATCTTAATTACATCTGTAAAGTCCCTTTTGCCATGTAAGGTAACATATTCTGAGGTTCCAGGGATTAGGATGTAGGCATCTTTGGTGGTGCATTATTCTGCCTTCCACTCCGCTATCCACACTCCCTTTCACATACCTTTCAGAAGTTCTGTCAGGATGCAGGATTCAGCTTTCCCTCTACACAAAGTGCCCAGGTCAGTGGTCTCTCAGTTCGCATTCCATTGCATCTCTGTGGTAGAAATAGAAAGACAGACACAAATGGGCAAAGTCAGGTAAAACGGAGACAGATTTCAGTCTTGCCACCTGGGGGGTGCTTCCTCAGCAGAGCCAGCGATGTGTGTTCACAATCTGTGGGATAAAGAAAATCAGAGCATTGACTGGAATGCTCACTGTGCCCTGTATCTTCCCCCTTTCCATTTTAGAGTTCCTGGCCCTCAGGATGGTGAGCGAGGACCAGGAGTGTGCTGGGTGGCTGGAAGTTTTCTACAACGGGACCTGGGGCAGTGTCTGCCGCAGCCCCATGGAAGCCATGACCTTGTCCATGATCTGCAGACAGCTTGGCTGTGGGGACAGTGGCACCCTCAACTCTTCTGTTGCCTTTAGAGAAGGTTCTAGACCCCGGTGGGTAGACGGAATCCAGTGTCGGAAAACTGATACCTCTCTCTGGGTGTGTCCTTCTGACCCTTGGAAATACAGTTCATGCCTTCCAAGACAGGAAGCTTATATCATGTGTACAGGTGAATTACTGTCTGTTTCTATTTGTCTGTCTCAACAATGTGGTATGTTGTTAGTGAGATTTTATATTTTCAAATCTAAGTGATGAGTATAAGATAAGTCTACAAAATGAAGTTTGTATGAAGATTATTTAATCTACATGATCCCATCTTGTTTCAAAGGAAAAAATAAGGAAACCTGTCCTGACAGCCATTTATGTGAAAAATACCAAGTAGATTGGGTTGAACATATGGGAAGCATGAATAATGCTCTGATAAACTTTCTAAGGAATTGCTAACTAATTAGGAGTCAGTCTGTTGGTAGAGCAACTTTCTTGCCTCCTCTTGTGAAGCACACCTGGCAAACTCCAAACCTGGGTAAAGGGAACTGCCTAAGTTCTCCTTGCCTGCACTGGACTAGTGAAAAAGGCAGGAGAATAACACACAGTCATGTTGCTAGTCTGTTTTCGAACTCATGCACGTTCTTTACTGGGCACTCCACACTGCCCCCAAGTTCTACTGTACTTCTCCAATATGTGTGCTTACCCTATCTTTAAAATTATTTTTTACATTTTCTCTGCTCTCCTCACACTGTCAACACCTGATTCTCACTATCCATTCTCAAATCATGATCTTGCCTTTTACCTCACTGAGATATTAGAACAGTCTACCATGAACTCCTTGTGGTGTGTGCACATGCTCTCTACTTGGCCTCCTAGATTAGTGGCCTCAGTCCTTTTCTTAGGTCAGATTTTTTGCTCACGCTACAGACTCTAACTACAGTCACCATGTCAGAGAGTTCATCTCTTCAATTATGCTCTCTTCCTCTGGACAATCAATTTCTCCCTGACTCCTAGTTTATTCTCATCAATGTATAAATGGGCTTAAGTATCCCACGTCTTGAAAAACACGTGAACAAATGAACATTTTTCCTTGACCCCAATTCCCTCCCCACGTCTTGAAAAACACATGAACAAATGAACATTTTTCCTTGACCCCAGTTTCCCCCCTAGCTGCTTCCTCATCCCTCTAATCTTTCCTCCACAGTCAAGTTTCCAAAAGTATGGCCAATAATCACTCTGTCTCCACAATTTTGTGTCTCCTACTATTCTGAACTCATCCCACTAAATTTTAGGCTCTACCATTCCTCAGAATTGGTGAGGAAATAAAATGTAGTCGACTTTTCTCCCTTCATTGTTCTTGACTTTTCAGCACAATTCAACACATTGGCTTCTCTTTCCTTTGCAATTTTTTTTCCTCCTGACAGTCACTCTACCTCATTGATTGTTCTTATTCTATGTAATTGATTGTTGTTCTTATTCTTACTGGGATGCAGTCCTCTTCTCAGCCTCTAGATCTTAGACATTACCAGGGCTCAAATGAGCCCTAATGGTGCCACTTTGTGGGTGCTTCCTCAATACAGTCAGCGATGAGTATCAGAGTATTAGACTCTCTACTCTTCCTTAGCTATACTCCTTCCCTAAGGCCCACGGCCTGAAGACATTTATACACTGACAACTCTCAAATATATACCTCCACAGCTGATCTCCGCCCTTAACTCTTCCCTTAACTCCTAACTTGTATGTTCCATTGCTACCTGTCATCACCATTTGAATATCAATAGGCAACTCAACTTTAGTCCAAAGCAGAATGTTTGATTCCACCTTCTCAGTTCCTCTTCCTAACTTTTCCTCCCCTACTATATTCCTCATTTCGGTTAGTGTCACTACCATTACTTAGTTACTTAAGTTCAATGTATAGAAGTCGACCTTCATTTCTCCACTTCCCTCATCCTCCACTTCCAATATAATAGCAAGTTCTGTTGGCTGTATCCTCAAATATACTCTTAATCCTTCTACTTCATCTTAGTCCAGGAAAGATCACCTCTTGCCCGGATTATTCCAACAGTCTTTAGTGGTCACCCAGGTCCGCTCTGCCCTCTGTAATATATTGTGTCTCTGTCAGCCGGAGAAAAGTTTTAAAATTTAGTTTGCATCTTGTTTCTTGCTTATAAGCCTCCAGTGGCTTCCTATTCAACTTAAGGTAAAATTCAGATTTCTTACACCGATTGACAAAGCCATACAGAATCCGTCCCCTACTCACCACTCTGTCCTCCTCTGCATTCACTCTTCCACTCAGCCGATACACATGTTGATTTTCTTTGTGTTCATGAAATAGACAGGCATGAGGGAAGTAAGGGAAGGCAGGCTGGCCATGCTTTGATGCCTCAGTATTCTTTACCAGACAGATGGTATTGTTCATCTTATGACCTTGCACCAGCTGTTCTATCTGCTTTGCTTGTCTGTCACTTTCTCATCATTCAGTTCTCACTTTAAATGTCATTTCCTTGGTGAGACCTCTCATATCAATTTAAATGCTATTACTTTTCCCAAAATTCTTTATGACATGCTCCTGACACTCCGTGGTTATCCCTGGCTACACTGATTGCTTTTCTCAATATATTCTGCAGGGTTCCAGTTCCTTTGCCTAACCTATTTTATGTTTTAGAACATATTTTTATGTTTTCCATAGTACTTACTATGAGAAATGATCATTTATTTATTTTTATGTTTATTATCCATCTCTCCTATTAGTTTATAAATTCCATGGTATCAAGGACTTTAACTAACTATTGTATTGACCAGTGTATATCCAGTGCTGTGGAGAGCACCTGGCATATGATAGTTCTTTTTTTTTTGTGAGGAAGATCGGCCCTGAGTTATCATCTGCCAATCCTCCTCTTTTTTGCTGAGGAAGATTGGCCCTGGGCTAACACCCATGCCCATCTTCCTCCACTTTATATGGGACGCTGCCACAGCATGGCTTGACAAGACGTGCGTCGGTGTGCGCTCGGGATCCGAACAGTCCAACTCCGGGCTGCAGCAGCCGAGCAGGCACACTGAACTGTTCTGCCACTGGGCCGGCCCCTATACGATGGTTCTTGAATGAATAAATCAGTTTTTTGATTGTGTAGTCAAAATTAAAAATACTTTCATGAAGGTGTAATCAAAACTAATTGAATGATTATTAAGCTGGAAAGCGAACTAATCAGTTTTGCGTTAAGAAAACATCCTTTGAGTACAGGATAAACAAAGGATTATTGCAGGGGAAATGTAGGTGCATAACGGTGACTTGGACAGTTTAGAGGAGTCAAGGGTGACTGCTAGAAGGATGGTAGTGCCTTTTATTGATTAGGAGACACAGAAACTCACGGGAGGACATACATGGGCTCCATTTTGAATATGTTAAATTCAAAGTGGGTGAGAACACTCAAACGAAGATGTCATTAGGCATTTAGAAGTATGCAATTTGATTTTAGAAAGGGAATCTGGGTGCTAGATATAAATTTGGGAAATGTCATAGAGATGCTTAGATGGAGTAGATGAGATCACTGGAAAATAAACATTCCTAGGACAGAATCCAAGGAACATTAACTTTTAAAAGCTGGGTAGCGTACCATGAACTGGCGTGGGATCTGATGCAGAGCAGACAGAGAAATAGGAATCCAGAAAATACCGTGTTTGGAAGTCAGGTTAAAAAAAATTTCAAGGAAAGGGGGATGGTCATATGTGTTAAATTCAACTAGGACATTAAGTAAATGAGAACTGAAAAGTGCTCAATAGATTTAGGTCATTATATGTCGTCGAATGCCTTAATGAGAACACTTTTAAGGGTGAGGGGTGGAAACCAGAAATAAAAGTATCAAAGAATAAAATGATGGTGAAAAATAGACGCAACCTTTTTGAAAAACTGTAAAGGGCAAAGAATGAAAAGTAAGGTGCTGAAGTGTTGTATCCAATGCTGGAAATAAATTTATTCTAATTACCACGTTGATTAATTTGTTGATGCACAGTAGGGTGAACTACCTGTAAAAGTGACACTGACGCATTTGATTGTCTAGGTGCATGTGTCTCAAGTGCAAAAACAATGGAAAACCATGTCACAGGGAGTCTATAATCAGGCTAATTAGCATAAATGCCGGAGTAGATGTAGCCTGATTGTTGACCTCAGATTATGAAGGACTTTCCTGTGAAAGAGGGAGGAGACTCACCATGAGCTGCTCCAGAGGGCGGGACACTGACTGATGGATGGAGGTTAAGAGGAGGCAGGTTTGGGTTCACTCTTAGTAGTTATCATAAGGGAATCTCACCCTGGTGATGGTCCCCCGGGGAAAGAACACTACTATCAGGCAAAAGGACACTGGCGGTGTGAAGGGATGGCCAGCACACCTTCTCTTATATCTCGTTTTGCCGGTCTCTGTGTCTCTTCCCTGAATCAACCATGCTTGCTCCTGCTAGGCTTGTACCACACTTGGCACTAGGGAGTTTGTGTCTTTTCCACTAGTTTGTTTTATGCTTAGAGAGAGACTGATTCCTTTCTCTTTCATTTAAATTACAAAAACATT